GCACGACCGACCTGCATTGAGATGCCGAAATGCTCCCCTTTGAGATGTATTGAGTCAATGATTCTGTATAAAGAGATGCTGATTTGAGAATTATGGCAATTGTAACCCATGTACACAAGGCATCCTAATGTTTCCGTATGCTTCCCAATGCCAACCCTTATCCCTAACATGTTCTATAAAATACATTGTGACCTAATCCTGCATGCCACTGCATTACAACCCTGCACCCATAGCAATACCATAACTCCAAATATGGCACATTAAGTTATGTAATTAGAGATGTTATTTATCTCTCAGTATTACATGGTACTAGGGGCTAACAATGAAATGGGGCTTTGAGGACCCCATTCTGGTCTCCAGCCCCCTTTAAATGCATAGGTTTTGCCAATCTGCCTGAAAATAATTTGGCAAATGTGTAGGACATCTACAACCTGTTGATCATGCTCAAAACTGTCCAGTGTATGAAACACCACTCCCCCTCCAAAAAAAGAAGCCATGCATGATCTTTGCTCGCTGCACATAACTGAAAGTTTACCTGTTTAAGCTTTAAAGGGTTAATCCATGCACCATGACTTCTTCTGAGGTCTGAAGTTGTCATGGTGTCTGGTGTCTGGGGTCTGTACATGCAGTGTTTTTCTATGAAATTCTGCACATACAGAGTTTAACCGTTTTGCCACTGGAGATGTAACTTGACCTCTGGCAACGTTATTAGGGTGTCATGAGCCAGAGAGCTGAGCTGGCCAATGCCAATTCTGTGCTTATTTCTGAGTAAGTCTTTATTTGGCTAAGAGCATTCAACTGACGCTCTCAGCCAATGGGTGGCTTCTGCAACTCTGCAGATATGATAGGAAGCTCCCCCCACCTCCCCCCCCCACCCCCTCCCGGGGACCCAGGTAAGAGGACATCCATTGCAGCACTGATGTTCGATGTCTCCACACTCTGCATGAAGACACTGAACGCTCCTCATTCAATGTATCTCTATGGGGAAATGCTGATTGGGGCAGCACAGCATTTTACAGCGCATTCATGATAGCTTCCCAATGCTTTCCTTTGGGAAAGAATTGGATTGGTTGAGATCATCAAATGTGATGATCTCAGCCAAGGTCATGGAGCAGGGGTGGAGCCAACTGTTAGGAGACCTGTGCGGCGCTGGAAAAAGGTGATTAAAAATGAATCTAAGAGCTATAATTTTAGAAGTACACGTTTGTATTCCTGACGCTATAGTGTTCCTTGAAATATACAAAGAGGCTTATTCACTAATTAAAGGAGCACTATAGTGCCAGGAAAACATACTGGTTTTCCTGGCACTATAGGGTCATTAGCTCCGTAGAGACAGCCACTAGAGGCTGGATTAACCCTGCAGCTGTAAACATAGCAGTTTCTCTGAAACTGCTATGTTTTCAGCTGCAGGTTTAAAACTAGAGGTACCTGGCACCCAGACAACTTCATTGAGCTGAAGTGGTCTGGGTGCCTATAGTGGTCCTTTAACAAAATGTCATGAACTGAAAGTCAATCTGCAAAATTTAGGCAAAAATAGTAATGATTATAGTCTGAGTTGGATAATTTATTTCCAGATCAGTGCTTTTTACCTTAAATTTTTAGTTTCTGTTTTGAAATGACTAAAATTCAGGTGTTTAGTGAATAAACTCATGCTGATAATGCCCAATATGAGTTTACAGACTTTACAGCCTCAAGTCATTTCACAAGGCAATTTAGAGATTCAGGGAGCGTGCTAAGAAGCTAAGTGATGTGATTTTTTTTGCAATGCTATCAGCTACCTTCCTAACTTGCTCACTGACTGAATGTCTAAATTGACTTGTGAAAGTACTTTGGGACCAGAGAATAAAATATTGCAAGGTACTTTACTGATCAAACTATCATTTTATTCTAAGTGATTTTTAGTGACAACAATTGTTCAGCAATCACACTCTACAGAAGGCTTCCCCAAACTCCGGCCCTCCAGATGTTGCTGAACTACAACTCCCACTATTCTATGAATTAAATAGATACGCTGGAATCATGGGCGTTGTAGTTCAGCAACATCTGGAGGGCCGGAGTTTGGGGAAGCCGGTTCTACAGCTTGCGTGTATCTTTTTTTTGTTTTTATTTAAACTAGAAGTTGTGGTTATTTCAAAGAGCAGTTCTTGTCGAGCAGTGGTTTTGGTTCTTTTTAAACAAGACAACCTTATTACTACTTCTCGTGGTGCTTATGTTATGCATGTATCAAAATATAATTTTTGGCAAACATGATGATATTCTGGTACTTTGTAAATAATTTGTAATAATAGGAAGATTATTATTTTATTATTTTAATTTTATTATTTTTATAGCGCCAGCAAATTCCATAGCACTGTTTGATGGGTGGACTAACAGACACGTAATTGACATATATGGCATTGCAAACAAAAATTGCAAGGAAATGAAATATTGGCGTATAGGGACATTTATTTTACAACCGGCTTTATGGAAACCTTGGATTGAATATAAAGTAATTTTTTTTTTTTTTAAATACCGTAATTGATAGAAGGAAATATCTAAGGAAACAATACCTCCATGGGCGGATTCTAGCTCTCGACACTGTAGTGCCTATTTAGAATTTATCTATGTCTTTATTGTATGATTATGTCTTACATGTTTGCAACACAGAGTGTAATAAGACATAGTTATTCATGAATACATTTGTTTGGGTTTTGTCGGTTAATGTAATTTCTTTTTATTGTACAAATGATAAATGATGAATAAACAGATAAATATAAAAAAATAAATATTGGCGTATTACATGCTCTATACCGGGGGGAGGGGGGATGGGGTAGGTGACCTTCGACTCCAGATGTTGTGAACTACATCTCCCATAATGCTTTCACATCCAAAATGCTGGCAAAGCATCATGGGATATGTAGTCCACAAGATCTGGATTGACGAAGGCTGCCTACTCTACGAACGAACTAAAGCATTGCCGAGTGCATAACGAGTGAGATAACGTCAGTAAATGTTCCACAGATAAAGCCTATTTTGACTGAGCTCATAAATCATACGAATATGAAGTTTTACAGGGTCTGAGCATGCAATATTAATTTTAAGAAAAAAATGTGATTGATGTAGAAGAAGATTCTTATATAGATGTATGTCTATACAATATTTCATAACGTATCATTACAAAGATTGATGTATCAAACTGTTTAGCCTTAGTGGAAATAATATGGGCTGGATTCTCTTAGAACAGAAAGGGTTTGATCTGTTAGCAAATAGCAATTTTACCGTAGACTTAATCTGCTAAAATAACCCAGCCCTGCATGTGCCAAAAGCAAGATACATACACCAAGCAACTGGACTTTGGCTCATAGGCCAGCTTTTGTTTATTCCTTTTTAGATGATAATAGGTCATAAACAAGGTTATCTTCATACTTTCATGTTATGTTAGGATACAGTTAAAGAGTTACTCCAATTATCATAACCATTACAGCCCACTGAAGTGGTTATGGTGCCAAGAATACCCTTAAATGGTTCTCCCATAATCGGGCAAACTGTTTTGCAATTGCTTGCCTCCTTACCTGGATCCCCATCAGTCTTGAGACTCCCAGGTGGACTGTCTGGCTTCTGCAGAGCCACAGAAGATGGACATTACAGATGCTGCCCTTTATTGGACCACTCTCAGCCGATGAATGCAATTCTGTGCAATGAAAGTTGCACAGAATTGATATTAGCCAGCCCGGGACTTTGGCTGATGGCACCCCACTGACGCTGCCAAAGATGAAGTTACACTTCCAGCAGTAGAAGGGTTAAACTCCGTATGTGCAGTGTTTTCATAGCAAAATGCTGCACATACAGACTCCAGGCACCATGATCACTTCAGATCACAGAACTGGTCATGGTATTTGCAGTAACCTTTAAAAAAATCTCTTGTACAGATGCAAAATAAAATATTATTATACCCCAACTCCCAACAGTCATGGATTCAGCAGAACAGTCCCTAATTTGGGTTCCAACCTTGCTGTCCTAGATTTTCTCTCTGATTCCCCCAATAAACAGAGTGCTTAAATTAATTTTTTTTTTGGTCTAACTTAATTCTACACATAGAAGCTTATACCCATGTTCCGTATTATGTATAATGTGCCTTACTGCTTTCTGCTTCAAATATATCCTGAGATTATCCTCCAGTCTAGAGTTGTCTTTGGTGAACAAACAAACAAGGAGGTGCAGGTTAGGAGAGCAGAACAAAAGATATCGCAGAGCCATGATATTCTTGGTTACCATCACAGAAAGTCTGGTATAGCTAATCGGAGCTAAGACACTCCATAAGAGGAACAAAAAAAATAGCATAATAATGTCAAAAGAAAAAAGTTTTAAGTCATCACAAATGCAACACAACAAGCAGCCACCCCAACACATGCTACCCCACAAACAGCACCTTGACAAACCTTGCATTAACGCATCCAATCACATACCCCAAACTTTGGATGAAGAAAATGGCTTTTGGGCAGCAAGGAGGATAAATCTGGCCTCGAGTAGAAGGTGTTCATTACTTGCGTATAAAATATAAAAGAGAGGCTACATCTGTACCGGTCAGATTGTATCTGCTAAGTGCTCTGTGGATGCTAATGGAGCATTATGTGTGATCTGGGTGACATGTGGCTACTGAGGCAACTAATGGGTGCTGTATGTGAAAGGGACGAGATGCAGGTGCTGTGTATAATGTGTGCTCAGTGTGTGATGTGAATGCCGTAGTTGTGACAGATAAGTGCTGTGTATGAAGCGAGTGATTGATGGGGGTCACTGATGGAGTTAATATGATTGATGTGTGCAGTACAGTTTCAATGGGTGTTTTAGGTGATGTCGTTAATGATTTAATATTCCAGAAATGTGGGGGTCAAAAGAAGTGATTATAAGATTTGGTCTGACTGAAGTGTACCTTGTGAGTTTAATGGGTTGTAGAGTAACTAATGGCTCTAAGTTAGTATCTTTAGATGACAGTCCCTATTTTGGATCTAAATTCCTCTGTCCTTATTTTCTATCCCAATGTCTCTCTTTTCTAAAAGCTCCATATTGTTGTTGTGTCTGAGTGTATAACAGAGCTCCACAGCAATAATACTCCCAGTAACGTGTCTGAGTGTATAACAGAGCTCCACAGCAATAATACTCCCAGTAATGTGTCTGAGTGTATAACAGTGCTCCACAGCAATAATACTCCCAGTAACGTGTCTGAGTGTATAACAGAGCTCCACAGTAATAATACTTCCAGTAATGTGTCTGAGTGTATAACAGAGCTCCACAGCAATAATACTCCCAGTAATGTGTCTGAGTGTATAACAGTGCTCCACAGCAATAATACTCCCAGTAATGTGTCTGAGTGTATAACAGAGCTCCACAGCAATAATACTCCCAGTAATGTGTCTTTAAACGACAATAAATGTGTTTAGAATTCAGTCTGTGTAAATAAGATACATTGTTCTTGTTCTAAATTACATTTCAGTTGCATAAATGATTAGTAAATCACCTAAAATGTCTCGGAAACGCCCCATGCCCTTTGTTTGTTTGATTTGGTTTGCTACGATGTATGATGAAGCGAGTGCCACTAGTGTCACAAATAGGTACAGTGTAATATAAGAATACTAGCATACTAGAGGGGTGAGCGATGGCTGCTATCATGTTGTACCTTTAAGGAGGCTGAGGAATTAATGCCATATAGGGCAGGAAACAAAAAGAAAATCATCACCTCAGATATTCTCTTAGTCCTAGGGTGTTGAGAGGCCCACAAGCAGAATTTTGTCTTGGTCCCTATAAAGTTAAAGGGACACTATAGTTACCCAAACAACTTTAGCTTATTAAAGCAGTTTTTGTGTATAGATCATGCCCCTGCAGTCTCACTGCTCAATTATCTGCCATTTAGGAGTTAAATCACTTTGTTTATGTAAACCTAGGCACACCTCCTAGCATGTGACTTGTACAGCTTTACTAAATACTTCCTGTAAAGAGTCATCTAATGGTTACACTTCCTTTATTGCAAATTTTGTTTGATTCAGAATTTCTTATCTCCTGCTTTGTTGATAGCTTTCTAGACTGTTCATTTTATAGAGCAGGAGATAAAAGATAACATTAGATTTCAAATGAAACCATTCGGCTTTCATGCAGGCTGTGTCAGTCACAGCCAGGGGACGTGTGGCCAGTGCTGCATAAACAGAAACAAAAGCGATTTAACTCCCTAAATTGCAGTGAACTGAGCAGTGAGATTGAAAAGGCAGGATCTATATACCAAAACTGCTCCATTAAGTTGGTTTGATGACTATAGAGTCCCTTTAAATATGACCCTAAGCCTAAAATGCCTTATCAAAGCCTCAAACATAGAAAGATAGCAGAATTTGAAAGGAATACAGAGCACATACATTTAAATTGTAATTTAACTCTATTTAAAACTTCCTAATTTAAGATAATGCTACCCATTTTTTTTTAAAGAAGAAGGGTATTTGGCATTATTTATTTTCTTCACAGTCATAAACCCTCTTAAAGGATAAAAGTGGAGAGGTGTGCGGGCGGGGGAAGCTTTGATGTGTAACACTTAGAATGTGTTTTTTGTAGTTCCTTTCATCCAGCTTGCTTGCTGTTACCAAGTATAATTGTAGCATATAGTGTTGTTTGGTTTTATTACGACTTCACTGGAAAGCCTGTTTATAGAAATTAATGCTGCAAACACAACAGGCTCCATATCCTTTTGGTATAACCTCATAACATTTATTTTGATATTGCTAAACTTTGTCACCTCCAGGACCAGCTATGGATTAAACTCTGTCAGTCTTATTCTCTAAAGTAAGAATTTAGAGTGACTTTCAAATTTTAAGGTCAAAATAGCCGAAGTGGAAAAAGTCTCCAAGTCAACTATGGTTCCTACTCTGGCCTTAAAATTAAAATTTACTTAGAATTCTCACTATAATAATCCTATGTGTTGCTGTGGGTAGAACAGCAGACTATGAAGGTATTTGTGGCTTTTATAGCAGTCACACATTACTCATTCTGAGAAAAAAACTAAGGAAAAAGAAAAAAATCTTTGAACTCAACTCAAAAGGACTAAAGTTTCTACACACTTTTGATGGCCGAATAAGTGATTTAATCAGGGCTGCCCAAAAGGTAGATCCCCAGGTGTTTTAAAACTACAGCTTCCATGATGCTTTGTCATGCTAAAGGCATGCAAAGCATCATAGGAGTTATGGTTCTAAAACATCTGGGGATCTACCGTTAGGGCACCCCTGGATTAAATCATTTTCTACATGGTCTCAAATGCTAAAATAAACCCTAGAATTAACTGATTGCTTAAAAGGATGGCTGCAAAACCATCACACATTGCGTATGTGCCTACCAATATACAGGGATACAGGACACGACACATACAGCACACAGAGACACAAGAATAGGACAACATATAATATAGGTTATTGACCCTCAATAAATACACTCTAAAACAACTAACATATTTATACAATAGTAGCCTAAAAAAGGTGGAATAGAGTACCTATAGCATGCTGTATAGGAGAATAAGGACACAAATGAAAATATTGGAAAGTTGGCTCAGCAAGCAGTGGGTACCAGTGGATGTACCTACAGGAACCAGTGCCACCCAAGCTTCTCATTGAGACCATGAGGGGGCGCTGTGTCCAGTCATTACACCCGGACTTGCTTCTGGAGTAGCAACTCCCTGTTCCTTCCTGCAGTATCTGGTGGTACCCTGTCTAGAACCTGGTACCTTAGTTGGAATTCCCCGTGGTGCATCTTCCTGAAGTGCCTCGAGAATGGAGCATCAGATCCGATATTACGAATAGAGATCTGAGATTGGTACAAACAGCACTTTAAATAATCCGAACTGAAAGGGCACTTTAGGAAATAGACCACAAAGTCAGACTGACAACTGAACCTAATGACTAGTTTCCACAGCTGCCATTTTATTATCATTTTATTATTTATATAGCGCCATCAGATTCCGTAAAAAGATACGAAAGTCTTCCTTGTTAAAGGAACACTATAGGGTGAGGAACAAAAACATGTATTCCTGACCCTATAGTGTTTAAAACACCATCTAGCTTCCCCCCTCCCCCATGGCACCCCCTTGCCCCTCTCAATATAGTTGTAGCGGAGCACTAGTTCTAGCAGGGACTCTCCTCTGCTGGTTACTCCAATATGTACTCAGGAACAAGTAAATTACTCTGAGGGAACAGACAAATAAAGCAAGTAGTGCAAGATTCTCCCAACACCTCCCCAGCAACTGGATGACACTCAGCTCTGGGGGTAAACTGATTTTAATGGAGCCACAGCTGGCCTTTTATGAGAATTCCCCTGCAAGGGGTTTCCATATACATATTCCAGGGGCATTCCCCACTGGACCTGGGAGTAGATAGGGCAAAATACACAAAATAATTACATTAGCTCTCAGGTCCAGGACATGTAAAATATTTAACACCCCAAAATATGCATTTCCCCATAAGGTACCCCCTCAAGTACTATATCCTCGGATAGCTTGGGTCTGAGCGCTCAGATCCCACGAATGTAGCCAAAGCACCACTGGGGTATAGTTTAGACCAACCGCACAAGAAGTGTGTGCCCAAAACAGTTCCATGAAAATGGGCTATGCAGTCGGTCTCTTTCGGGAGTACGAAAAACATATAAAATAACATAGCAATCTGTTCGTGCGTTCGTTCGTATGAATGCTGCTGAATGCTGCTCTTTTCGTATTCTTTCTTACGAAGCAACTGAAGGTAGAAGTCCAAGCGGTGTTCGTGCCGTCGAGTTTCTGATTTTAGTTCCACACACTCGACGACCAAACACCGCTGTCTTTGTTCATGTTCCAAGATGACCGCCGCCATATGTTCGCCTATACGAACAGCAACCACCCATCCAACCGCTTAGAATGTTAATGTAGCTGCGGTTTCTGGAGGTGTGAACAGTGTTAATGAGCGGCACACTCCACATCTGGGTGGTCTTCCGTTCGGTCGAACAGAACCACTTAGGGGAATGGAATTAAACGAACGGCCAGGTGAAACAGAGGAAAAGCTTAAGTTTCAATAAGAGGGGAATAGGTCTCACACAGGTACTGCAAGTCCCAAACATAGTGGACAACAGGGAGGGGGAAAATGGGCACGGACAGCCCATAGCCGGTACAAGAGTATGGTAGCAAGGTCCATTCCGCTACAATAGTAAAATCTTATCTTTATTCCAGTCTGCTGCTAGCTCTGCCCCTGATCTGCCTCCTTGGGTGACATCATCAGAAGTCTTAATCTGAACCAATCACAATGCTTTCCCATCAGTGCCATCTTGACGGCATTATGGGCCCCCGAGCAAAGCAGTGCACTGGGGCCCTGCCTACACAACCACTCACAGGAATAAAAATGTAAATTATCAATAAAATTAAGCTTATATTTATTGGTACCTCCAACAAATTTATTTATTTATTTATAAAATATTTTACCAGGAAAGATACATTGAGATTTCTCTCGTTTTCAAGTATGTCCTGGGTGCAATACATTCATACAATACAAACACACAGACTGTTACATACACCCATACAGACTGCTGAACACACACACACACGCAGATTGATGAATACACACAGGCTGCTGAATACACACACATTGATAAATACATACACACAGAGAGGGGCTCTGTGTGTATGAGGGGTGCTCTGTGTGTTTGAGGGGTGCTGTGTGTGTGATTGATGGGTGCTGTGTGAGAGGCGCTATGTGTATGAGGGGTGCAGTGTGTGTGAGGGATGCTGTGTGTGACTGAGGAGTGCTGTATGTAAGGGGTGCTCTGTATATAAGGGGTGCTGTGTGTGTGTAAAAGTTTCTGTGTGTGACTGAGGTGCTGTGTATGAGGGATTTCGTGCGTGACTGAAGGGAGCTTTGTGTGTATGTGAGGGGTGCTCTGTGTCGTATGTGACTAAGGGGTGCTGTGTGTGTGAGGGGTGCAGTGTGTGTGAGGGAAACTGTGTGTGTGTGTGAGGGGTGCTGTGTGTGTGACTGAGGGGTGCTGTGTGTGTGAGAGGTGCTGTATGTGAGGGGTGCTGTGTGTGTGACTGTGGGGTGCTCTGCATGTATATGAGGGGTGCTCTTTGTATGAGTGGTGCTGTGTGTGTGTGAAAGGTTCTGTGTGTGACGGAGGTGCTGTGTATGAGGGGTGCTGTGTGTGTGACTGAGGCATGCTCTGTGTGTATGTGAGGGGTCAGTGGCGTACACAAGAACCATGGGGCCCCGGTGCGAAAATTGATCCGTGGGCCCCCTCCTCCCCTGCGCACTTACTCTGCGTGGACCGGTGTTGCTACACATGGCGGTGGGCACCTGGTCGCAGGGCTGCGACCCCTGCGACCGCGGTGTGCCGCCAGTGCATGCAGATACACTTAAAGGACCACTATAGGCACTTA